TGATAATGGACATATAAATTGATATGTCCTTCCTTCTTGGCAGAATATTGCATGTGTGTTGCACAGCATATATTACAAGTGCACATAACTCATTATGGCTGGTGAATAAGGTTATTAGATCATAACAGAAGCTTGGAACTTTTAAATGTTCTTCAACAAAGGAACTGATTAATGTATCACTATTCAGTTGTGCAAAATAATTCTCTAGAGACACACATTTGTGGGGCTGGGACTGTAGCTCAGTTGGTAGAATGTAGTGTTCACAAAGTCTAGATTGGATCCCCAGTACCTCACTCATCTGGGTGTCCTAGCACATGCCTAGGATCCTAGCCCTCAGAAGGTGGAGGCAGGAGGATCAGAATTTAAATAGCATCTTTGTCTATGAAGCAAGTTTGAGGTGAGCCTTGTCTCAATAAAAAGAAAAGAGGGGCTGGGCTGGCAAGATGGTTCAGTGGGTAAAGGTCCTTGCTGCCAAGCTGATGGCGTGAGTTCAATCACTGAGCTCACTTGGTAGGAGAGAAGCTACTCCTCAAAATTGTCTTCTTTTCTCTGCATGCATGAGTACACATGCACACACAAGTAAATAAAATAAATAAAAATTTTAAAATTTAAGAAAAAAAAGAATTGCCGGGTGTGGTGGTTCACACCTTTATTCTCAGCTCTCAGGAGGCGGAGGCCAACCTGGTCTACATAGTGACTTCCAGGTCAGCTGGGGCCACAGGGAAACCCTGTCTCAAAAAGACAAAGAAAAAAAAAAAATTTCTTTTTAAATTTAAAAAAAAGAAAAGAATGGAGGGAGAAAGGAAAGAAGAAAAGAAATAGAAAAAAATGGAAGAAGAAAAATTGCGTATTACAACTTTTTAACAGTTACCCCAAGGTTATTTTTTAATTGAAATTTTGTGAATTTCATACAATATATTTTGATTGTATTTAGATTCCCTCCTCTGTCTGCACTCCCTTCTCCTTACAACCCTTCAAGAATAGTGGGGTTTTTTTTGGCGGGGGGGGGGGGGGGGGAAAAGGTTTATGTATTTATTTATTTACTTTTATTTAATAACCACATGATTTGAAGAAGAATTTCA